GCTTGGCTGACATAATATACTTTTTGCTCTCCCCACTTCCCTTCCCTTTATTTAAACACCGTGGAGTGAGAAGTTATTCCTGATCCATTTGCTACAGATATTGAATATCCCGTCACCAATCCCACCATCAGTGTTCCTTCCCTACACCATTGTCCCCATTTTCCCAACCACCTCCAAGCTTGCCCCCTTTGTCTGCTCTCTTTTAATTTTGGAAATTTGCAAATCTTCAGTGTCCCAGCTCTTTCCATACTTGTTGATTACTGATATTGATATATTCAGTTTCCAAAGAATATATATATATATTCAATAACTGTCTATGTGGTCATAGCCTATATAGCTCATATTACATATTTAATTTATTTGCATATCCTCCTGTATTTCTGTGATTTCAAGGAACAAAAACAGTATTGTTGCAATTTTTCGACTCAAACATGGAGTCAAGTTACTTGGAGAGTCCTGCAGTGACTTTCTGGGGGTCAGAGCGAGGCAACTCTCAGGTCAATTGCTCTGTCAGCATAACCCTTCACATAATCTGATACAGTCATTGAAATATTGCAGTTCACAAACTGAGCCCGTAACAAACAAAATATCCTATGACTATTCCATGCTTCATTTCTGGTTTTAGATATCACAGTTTTTTTGTGTTATTTTTTAAATCCTAGGAAATTAACAGGTTTTTGGAAATTACATCATTTAACTTATCACAATTGCCACATTTCACAACTTTAATTTCTTTGCCTCCCATCTAACAAAGAAAGTGGATTAAGTCCTTGACAGGTTCTTCCCTCTTGACTTGGGAGGAGTGTCCAGCTTTATTCCCAGAGTAGCTGACTGTGTGTCACATCAGCAAACTCCAGCCCATCCCATTACCTCAGAGTTTTTGCTTCCTGGTTAGATTTCCTCTTAAAAGGTAAGTCAGACCCTTCTAGGGGAAGGGCATCCTGTTTCTCATATGATACTAATCACTCTGATTCTTTCAGTGAGTGTCAAGTCTAGTATCTATTTTAATTTTCAGGGAAACACTATATCTGTTTGTTGGAAGTAGATACTTGTAGAAACAGGAAAATAGGTTTTCTTATAGATTAACTCTCGAGTCTTTCATGTGCTGATATAAAGGATGAATAATTAAACATGAATATTAGAGACACATTTGCTAAAATACATTTGATCATTACATCCTTTCATCATAGTCTTTCAAGAAATCAGAGATCTTCTCTCTCGTGTGTGGGATATAAGGAAACATATGGTAGAATAACAATGCCCAAAGGTAATTGAAAAAAAGAAGTCGGAATAATAGGAGACTATCACCTAAGAACAGTGGAAATAAGGGTCAGGAGGATTGCCCCATGGCTTGGAAGCCAATCTCATGCTCTGGGGGAAAAGGTAGTTGGGATGGAGAGAGGAGTACTAAGTAAATGATGGTTGGAGGGCTCACTTGGGATGGGAGATGTGTGCTGAAAGTAGACTATGGATCAAACATGCATTGCAAACCATAACACACAAAAGGACCAAGATAGTAAGAAGGAATGTGCCTGCCACAGAGGCAGGGAGTGGAAGGGGTGGGGGTGAGGGGAGGGATACTGGGAACATTGGTGGCAACGAATGGGCAGTGGTGGAGGGATGGGTACTTGAACATTGTTTGACTGAAATGCAATCATGAAAGTTTGTAACTGTATGTCACAGTGATTCATCAAAATAAATTAAATAAATAAAATTAAAAAAAGAAACTGGAAACTGGTATTCAATAGGAAACATGCTATCTGAGGGGACTGGGAGATAGGACAGGGAGGGGGCAACGACTATGGCGGAGGAAAGCATTCAACCAGGAGAAGGGGTGACACCGAAAAGTGATAAAGCGTTATGTATGAACCCCGCACCAGCAACAGATTGGTTGGTTGGAGGAAAATTGAGGGGTTGGGGAATTGGTGAAGGAAAGTAAGCACTGGCAAAGGGATTGATGTTGAAACAGTATATGCTGAAACCAGGTTATGAATAACTTTGTTATCGCACAGTAACTAAATTTAAAAAATGAAAAGAATTTTCCAGTAAAATTTAAAAAAAAGAAATCAGAGATCTAGATTTTAATCCTCACTGTCATTCTGTTGTTCGTCAGTTTACTTGAGCAGGCGCCGGTAACGTCTCTATTCCTCCCAACCCTGAGATTTTAGCAGCCTCTCCTTACTCATCTTTTCCAATGACTGGAGGCTCTTTCAGAGTCAGGGGAATGAGACCTGTTATCGTTACTGTTTTTGGCATATAGAATATGCCACAGGGAGCTTGTCAGGCCCTACCCGTGTATGAGGGATACTCTCATTGTGGCCACGGGGTTCAGAAAGTGGCTCGGAGCGTGGCGGCGGGCGGTTGGGTAATGGAGATTAGCTGCCAGGGCTGGGTCCCTTGGGGAGGGGATGGCTCCCACTTGCCCCCATTTGGGGTGCCCCGAATGAAAACAGCCTGGCGTGGAGTCTGGTGGCATGGTTATGGGGGCCTCATTTTATTCTCCCATCTGGGAGGAGCATCCTGAGTTCTGGAGGGTGGTCGATGAGGAGATTATCTGGGATTATCTGGTGCTGGCAGGGAGTGGTTTATGGGTGTGATCTCTGAGTCACTGGAGACTGGGAGAAGCAGGCGGAGAATCTCTGCTCCTGGGTACCGTTTAGCCCAGAGTCTAAGGTTACAAAGTTCTGCATTACCTAGGATTTGTGGGACTTCATTCATGCGTGAGGCTCAGCCTGAGCTTCTGGAAAGCGGCCTGGAGCATGGTGGTGGTTGGGTAATGGAGGTCGGCTGCCAAGGCTGGGACCCTTGGGGTGGGAAGGGCTCTCGCCTGCATCGCTCTGGGGAGCCCCAAGTGAAAATAGCCTAGCACTGAGTCCAGATTTTAATCTTAGCACTTTTTAATGGTTAGATTCCTTTTTAAACCTCCTATCTCCAAACTATAAAGGCGAATTTGTTCACCTCATAAATATATAGAAATTAACTCTAAGAAACTTAAGCAAATAAGAAACATAGAGAAGAAGTTCATAAAGTTTGAATCTCTTTTTAGAAAAAAAGTAATGGTATGAAGAGCTAAGTTAAACAAGAAAAAGAGAAAAGAATGTGACAATGTGTAAGAGTCAAATTTATATTTCTAGTTTAGTGATTTTCTAGCTTAATGACTTTTTTTTAATTTTGGGGGTTTGGGACCACACCTATTGATACTCAGGGATTACTCTGAGCGCTGCACTAAAGAATTACCAGAAAGCTTACCAGAAATGGAGAGGCAGGTGGAGGACAGCTGGGATAGAGAAGGGACCACTGTGAAATGATCAGTCTGGACAAGAACTGAGTGCTGAAAGGAGGTAAAGGAATATACATGAAAACCTGTCTGTAACTTGTATTGTGAACCATAATGCTGAGAAGGAAAGTGTGTGTGTGTGTGTGTGTGTGTGTGAGAGAGAGAGAGAGAGAGAGAGAGAGAGAGACAGAGAGACAGAGAGACAGAGAAAGAGAGAGAGGGAAGGAGGAAGAAAGGGAGGGAGAAAGAGAAACAGAGAGAGAGCAGGAAAGTGCCTGCAATAGAGACGGGTTGGGGAATGGGGATGGGGTGGGTTGGGGTTGATAGCGGAGAAAAACTGGGAACATTGGTGATGAGAAATGTAAATTAGTGAAGGAATGGGTACTGAAACAATCTATGATGACATCCAGTCATAAACATTTTTGTTATTGTGCATTTCATAGTGGTTTGATTAAAAAAATAAAGAATTATTTCTGGTTATGCTTGAGGCGCAATATGGGATGCTGGGATCAAACTAGGGTCAGCTAATTTTAAGCAAATTCCCTACTCGCTGTACTATCCCTCTAGCCGTGCTTAGTGATATTTTAAAACTGTTGAATGACGCATTATTTAAAGTGTAAGATAGCATTAGCAATTGATTCAGAGTTGGTTTACCATTTCCCCAATTGCTCATAGGAAAAAAATTAACAAGAGCTTTATAATTTTATATACAAATATCTCTCTCACTCTATTTTAAAAGGAAACAAGTCAATGTTTTAAAGAGGTCTCATCCGAAAGTATAATGTTTCTCAGCGTTTGATATTTTTATTTACTTAGTCATGAAGGCACTGAACTGCATCAGATTGATTTTCCATTATTGGTAAAGATTTGTTTTTATTTTGGAATGAGTGCCAGTCACTTACTGCAGAATAAACCACTTTATGACTAACTTCAGACATAGTATAAAACAATAAAACTTTGAAATATTTTATTTTATTTTCATTAGAATTCGATTAAGGTAAAGGTAAAGGCCCTCCCGTTGATCGTCGATTTGCTCGAGCGGGCCCAGTAACGTCTCCATTGGAGACTTTGTTGTTACTGTGTTTGGCATATAGAATACTCTTGGTAGCTTGCTGGGCTCTCCGAGAGGGGCGGAGGAATCGAACTCGGGTCAGCCATGTTGGCCGCTTGTAAGGCGAGCGGGTAGGGCGTTCGCCTTACATGCGACCAACATGGCCGACCTGAGTTCGATTCCCCCGAACCCGAGTTCGATTCCTCCACCCCTCTCGGAGAGCCCGGCAAGCTACCGAGAGTATTCGATATGCCAGACACAGTAACAACAAAGTCTCCAATGGAGACGTTACTGGGCCTGCTCGAGCAAATCGACGATCAACGGGAGGGCCTTTACCTTTACCTTTAGAATTCAATTAAGATTAGACATGTTGGCTGCGTGCAAGGCAGCGGCAGGACATTAGCCTTGCACGCAGCCAACATGGTCAACCTGAGTTCGATTCCTCCGTCCCTCTTGGAGAGCCCGGCAAGCTACCGAGAGTATCTCGCCCGCACGGCAGAGCCTGGCAAACTACCCGTGATGTATTCGATATGCCAAACACAGTAACAACAAAGTCTCCAATGGAGACGTTACTGGGCCCGCTCCAGCAAATCGATGAACAACGGGAGGACAGTGACAGTGACAGAAGATTAGACATAAAATGGATTTACTAGAGAAGATCACATCACATACCATTAACTTGAAGTGATGAAGCATTTATAGATAAGGCTCTTGTGTTCCTTATCTTTTGATTTAAGATGTTATGGATTTTCTTCTGTCTTACTGCTCTTTGCTCAACAGAGGAAAACTGGAACACCATAATGACATCTGCTTTCACACCATCCTCATAAGGTCTGTGACATAGAAAGGAAAAATGTTTATTCAAAGAATATTTTTGGTATAATCTTACATGACTTGCCAAATTACATTCCCTTATTTTATGCCTTAAATGATGTCAAGAGCTGATTCTCTGACATTGATACATTTGTTTCTGCCTGTGTCCAGCTGATTATTGTTTCTTATCAAGTTCTTATTATATTTTTAGTATATTTTTATTTACTTATTTATTTTTATGTGGAGTACTGCTATTTATTCAGCCACTGATTAGGCTGATTGAATTGGGCATGAACTCCATGTGAGTATATTTTTAAACTAACTTAAAGTATTCATGGCAGTTGGGTAAAACTTAGACATCAAAAAACTAATTGAAATAACAACTTATAAGGTGAGAAGTGGAAGAAAAAAATGAGCGGTCTCTGGCTAATCACTCATGTATGTGCTTTCTGCACTATCCATGACAAGTGACAGAATCAAAATGAGGGGACATTTAATTTCCTAAAGAGACTAATTTTCCTTTGCTCTGCTTGGATTTAATGAATATTCTCAATTTTGAGTTGAAATATCTCTTCATATATCTTTAATTCCATTAAGCTTAGATCTAGATGAGTTGGGACATGCAATGTAAACTATTACTTTCTTTTCCTACAGAAAATATTTGAAGACAGTGATATTATGGTCCTGGAATCGTTATCAAATTAAAAAAGTCCAGTTCCCTGAACTTTTTCATATAAAACAGTCAAGTAATTTACTGGTAGGGTTGAATAGTTGTATGTCTTAAAGATCATTTTAACTATATAAATAATTATTAAAAACTTGAAATTTGTGGGTGTGAAAGGTATAATAGAGGGTAGGGTGCTTTTTCATGTGGTTGACCCAGGTTTGATCCCTGGCACCCCATATGTTTCCGTGAACATAATCAGGTGTGTACCCCAAATATAGATCCAGAAATAAAGTCCTTAGTACTGAGTGTTGCTTCAAAACAAAAATTTAAAAAAAACTTCAAATCTATGTATTGATCTGCTCAGAAAGGTCTCTAATTTTTATACTTCAAAAGTTCCAAGCTCTTAAAAGCATTTAAAATGTATTTTGCAGAATTTTAAAACAGAGGAATTTATTTTTATTGAGGTACTTATATAGTCTATTTAAAGTCTGGAATGAAAAATGTAAATTATAGGAATTTCATATTAAATTGGCGAGCATACAGCCAGGTAAGACTCAGAGGAAAAGCTGTATTAATGGGGTGAAAGTTATTTACACCTCACAAAAATTTGCTCTGATGAGGCCTACAAATCTAAGGAGTTAATACAATTATTATAATGTGCTACAGTACTATGGTACAACAGTAAAATTCAGCAAACATATGCCTTTATTTCCTAAATCTTATGAAATTTATCCTATTTATATTATGAAATCCTTCTGGAAGTCAACAGTTTGTGAAGGTTTAAAGGGTTTGGAACAAGTGTGTCAATAACACACTAGACTATTGTTAAGAAAATTCCCTATTCCATCTAGTAAATTTGTCAGAATAAAGTTATGATATGTAGAAGATGAGTCATTCCAACCTCTTAAGTACACATTTTTCTATGTGTTTTCAATAAACAAAATTAAGACCTATAATTAGTTTGTGCAACGAATATGGGTCTTTCTCCTCCACCACCACAAAAAACTAAATATTGAAACAGAAACATATTTTGTTCAGGCATGTTTGCTGTCCAGAGGGCTACATTATAAGTCAAAGTTATAATTGCATTTTAAACTTTACCCTTTTAATATATTTGAAATGACATAAACGTCAAAAGAACACAACTATGGGCCTGCAGTGGCATGCTGCTAAGTTTCCTAAAGACCATGGGTTTTGTTTTTTTCAGACTTTGCAATCAGTGGATGGAATTTGAATCCTGCCTCTGTCCTCTGAAGACAGGTGTTATTCGAGGAACTTGAACTGTGCAGTTTACGCCCAACAAAACTTGTTTTATTCACAGAACAGAAGTCAACCCTCTGCTTGGGGACGTTTAGTTTAAGAGCACCTTAACCAAAAGCTCATCTCATTGAGGCATATATCTTATGAAGGCTTCTGTGCACTTTGCCCTTTGTCCTACCACACTTGTGACCCAACTTGCCAGGCATACATACGTCAGTCTGATTACTTGATTCTTGATATAATGCTTTTTCAAGGCAGAATCTATAAATATGTCATCCACCTGTGATAACAAAAGAAACCTATGTATTAATAAGATATTTTATAACAAGTGTATATATTGGATTAAATATTAGCACTGTAGCACTGTCCTCTCATTGTTCATCGATTTACTCGAGCGGGCCCAGTAACGACTCCATCCATTGTGAGACTTGTTGTTACTGTGTTTGACATATTGAATATGTCACGGGGAGCTTTCCAGGCTTTGCCATTAAATCAAAGGAAAAGATGCACATTCGTAATACGACATTATTTAAGACAACGGAACAGAATCTCAGTGGAACAGAATCACTGACCAAAAATAAATAAATAATTAAACTTAGTTGCTTCCATATTATGAAAATGTCTTACAAATAGTCTGGTGTGAGCACTAAAATTTGTAAAAAATTTCTAGGTATTCTAACATGATTGCATAAGTAGCTAGGATGGAAATGTCTTCCTAAAACTGTCCAGTAGGAGAAGCAGAAAACGCAGAGACTAAGCACAAAGAAACCTTAAGATATGATGGAAAATACCTTGGATTTGACCTAGATTCAAAGCTTATCCTACTTCTCATGTAACAGACATCCTTGGAAAATTTACTGAGCCAATTTGAACCTCAGTTTCCTAACCAGTAAATCAAAGAGTATATGCTCCATGGAATATATGATTAAATACATATAAAATGCCTGGTATGTTTTGGAAGTAAATTGTTAGTGCTTCTCTATTCTCTGTTATGGCATCATAGGACTCTTTTTTTCAGCAGGTCTTTGGCTATAATTATGGAGAAGAAATATTCAGGATTTGGGAAAGAATTAGGTTGTTTGTGGGCCCTAGGATAATCAGGTTAGAAGATAGTGGAGGAGGTACTGAAGATTGAGGTCAAATGTTGCTTTTCAGTTTGTATTTCCGAAGAAGCAGAAAGAAAAATTTGGGTTCAAGTGCTCAAATTTATTTCCTTTTAATTTCCTGCCACGGGCTTTTCATGCTGTGATTTATGACAGATTTTAGCCTGCAGTATCCTGTAATGACCATATGGTGGCCACAGTGTAATTCAATATGGGTACCAGAGTTTATAGATGCAAAGTGAACAGAACCGTGCAAAAGAAAAGAGGATAACTGCAGCATCCTTAAAGAGGGTGCAAGAATATAATCTCTTACTTTGAAAGAAGAATTGTAACAATAAAGGGAAGACTCCCAGAAATCAAGGAATATGCTATAACTTTCTTAGCATTATTAAACATTGATAAGTGCTGAATTGGAAGCCCAACTATAAGATCTTTAACCCTTATTTTACTTTATCTTTGAAATAGGCGTCATACTGATTTTATTTGAAAAAATAAACCAGATATGGAGATATGTGAATTTTCCTGGCGTCATTAGATGATAAAAGTTGTAGTTCTGTTCGTAGTTCTATCTCCTTTTATCAAACACACAACTACCATGTTAAAAGGTGATGCACTTCTTAAAGAAAGTAAGATAGGAAATGGTTGGCTAACTTGAAAAGATAAACTATGAACATTTATGTGCTGGGGAGATAGCTGCAGAGATAGGCTAGGGTTCAAACCTTAACACCAGGGGCTGAAGAATAGGAGGTAGGACACCGGTCTTGCATATGGCTGACCCTGGTTTGAAACCACTGAAACAAATATGGTCCTCCAAGCACTTCCAAGGGTCACCCCTCAGCATAGAGCTGGAAAAAAACTTGAGCACCATCAGCTGTGCTTCCCTGTCCCCGACCCCAAAACTAGCACCACCTAACACTCCCCCCTCTCTCTCTCCCAGCATGGGCTGGTATTAGCCCTAGTGGTTCCTGTATACTCTGGGTTTGGCCCGGGAGGGAGCTTGCCCTATGCCCTCCCCACCTCCCCCCAACACCTCTCTCTAAGAATACCAGGGTGGCCCAGAACTGCAAAATCTGTGGAGTTTGGGGGCAACTCCACACCCTTAGAGCTTAGTACTGTACATATCCTGGTTCCCCAAGGATTGCCCGGACTCTCCCGCACCCGCCCCACTTCACCCTCTCCCCCTGCCAACCCGCCACAGTTTCCCTGAGCACTCCCTTTTCCCCAAGGGAAAAAATGGTATAAAATTTACAAAACTATATAATTGGTAGAAGTTGCAAATTTAAGCTCAATGTTAGCATCTAGAAACTAAAAATTACTAGTATCCAAAATTTACCCTTATTTTCATTCAAATATGTAAAGTTTGAGTGTATTATTGTTGGGTTTATATGTTTAAAATCAACCTTTTGGAAGATAGGTTTTCACAAGAGTGATGCTGTCATAATTTTGCTTTTTGTTTTTATGCTAGGGTGCCATATGCAGTGCTGGGATTGAACTGAACCAGCTGCATACAAGACTATCTCTTTGGTTCATGCATTAGGTTTATGACTGTATAATATCTAGTAGGAAGCCATACACCCAATGAGAAAAATGTGTAAGTACAGCATCAACTCTGTCTTTGAGTGTATTAAACTTAATATTTACTATCAGAGGGAAATCTAAATGCTAAAATGCATCAAAAATATCAAGGATAAAAAAAGATAGATATTAAAAAGGAAGAAAAGTAAATGGCAGTTGGGAATTCAAAGCAATTATGTTCTGAAATTCCACTAATAATTGATTCCTCTCCCATTTGTAATTTGTTGGTAGAAGTACTGTATTAAGTGTCTTTTTTTTCTTCTTTGCTCTTCTCTTTATTTTTTTCTTTTCTTTCTTTTTCTTTTTTCAAAATTTTAGCTGTATCCAACTGTTCTCAGGGCTTACTCCTGGCTCTGCACTCAGGGATCACTTCTGACACGGCTAGGGTATCAGATGCTGTGCTGGGGATTGAAACAAACCAGTTGCATGTAAGACTATCTATTTGGTCCATGCATTGGGTATAATAATGCATATAGTAATATAATAATACAGAGATCAAACCTGACTATAATATCAAGCATCAAGCCACATACTCACTGAAAAAATGTGTAAGTACAGCATCATCTCTGTCTTTGAATGTTTTAGTTGATGGGAAGATGAGAACTGATCAAGTAGCATAAGAAGAATTTAGGTAGAAGTAACTGGTAGTTATAGAAATAAGAATGTTTCTTCTTTATAATTAAAATTCCTGGACTCTGCTTTTATTAAATCTCATTGAATTGGTCTGGGACGAGAACCAGGAATCATTGGGTTATTGAGTGAAGAAAATCATTTGAGTAATTCTGGGGCACAGGAACTGGCTAAAAGTGTTTTAATAACAACAACATTTACAATGGGGAGAAATCCAGAAATCCAACTTGCTGAATGAAGTTGACATTCAAATGAGCGTTCAACCAAGCTTGCAACTGTGGGCTGAGACACTATATGGGTTCACATAAACTTTTTAAAAAATTGTTTTAAAATAATATCCCCAATGATTTGTTATCAGCAACTATTTGACACATATTTTAATTTTGACTTAAAATATATATGCATGTACATTTAGTTTTAGAGGTCACCATGGGGCTCAGGGACTACTCATGTTCAGAGATTGTTCATGCCTTTGCTCAGGGTACCAAGAGGAGGCAGAGATCAAACCTGAGCTTCCCACATGCAGAACATGGACTCCAGCTTTGCATGCTCTGAGGTGGCAATCTCCCTGATTCTTGTAAGCCCATTGTATATGTTCAGAGTTGCCTACAAATTTTCAGGCAAAAAAGGGTGGTAAGTGGAAAAAGTTAAGGAAGCCACGCTTTACAGAACCTGGAATAATTCTCCCTGTCAGATTAAGGTCTGCCTTGTCAAAAACATTCTGCCAAAACTTTGGCATTCTGAACCTCCAGAAGATTCTGAGAATATCATTTTTGGAAATTATTATGCAAGTTTAGTATAAATTTGTTATTATTTCTCAGCCTAATAGCATGAGAGATTTGTAAATCTCTCCTCCTTTCCCTCTGGGATTATTTGTTGAGTTTTATAGCTGAAGTTGGTCTTTTAACAGAGATCAAAAGACCCCCCCTCCCACTTTCAACGTAGTACATTTTTATGTATGATGATTTTGAACTGCTGGAAACTGTATTGAGATTAAGTTCTAAGAGGGCAATTGGAGGTTAGTTGGGTGTTTAAGGAAAGAGTTAGGGAGAGGCTGTCAAATTCAAAAAACAGACCCGCCCAACCATTCAGTTCACATTCTCAACTGACTTTGTTAACACATGTCCCCTGCCTTTCACTGTCAGATACTTCCCAGCTGACTCCTCGTCAGTAGTCTGTATTCACATACAGGGTGTTTCAAGGTTGAGCAAACACACTTTCCATACAGTTGCCACCAAAGATTAGCCAGTGGAACAGAAAAGCAAGGGCTTCCAATTTCACAGCAGGAGAGCTCCTAAGAACTGAAGGAACCAAAATATGTGCTGTAAAAAAAATTCATATCCAGCAGCTTTCTACTAATTACAATGAGCATCACAGGAAGTATGACTTAAGTGACACTTAAAAATCACCTTAAGAGGGGCTGGAGCGATAGATAGCACAGCGGATAAGTTGTTTGCCGACCTAGGTTCAATTCCCGCCATCCCATATAGTCCCCCAGCACCGCCAGGAGTAATTCCTGTGTACAAGAGCCAGGAGTAATTGCTGTGCATAGCCGGGTGTGACCCAAAAAGCAAAAAGAAAAAAAAAATCACCTTAAGAGAGGCTGGAGAGATAGTATGGCTGATAGGGTGTTTGCTTCGCACATGCTCCAAAACAAATACAAATAAACAAACAAATAAATCATGTGAAGAGGTGGTTCACCTCCACATCTCCTGATCCTCTCTTGTTCCTTCTGACTGAAATCCTGGGGCCCCTTTGGAACCGGAATTGAATTCCCCTTCCTTCCATCTGGGTTCTGACTGTCTCCACAGCTGACCTGTGCTATTTCACAGTCCCGACTCCAATATCCTGAACCAACAGCTCTACTCTTCCACCTCACACAGGTCACACTTAAACTTTCTATCACTGGGCGAAGACAGGTAGAGAGAGAGAAGAACAGCATACAGCCTATTCCCTCAGACTTCCGGAGGAG